TCAGAAGGCTGGAGACAGAAAGATACGTGTCTGAAGCTGCCTGTGTTGGTGCTGGCCTCCAGCCATCCCTGCAGGCAGAGAGCACGTTCTAGAAAGGAAGTGGCTGGACTGGGAACGCAAGGGGACCTGTCTCCCCAGATCTGGCCAAAGGCCCTGGGGACCCAAAGAAGTGGCTTTGGGAACTCCCGTGGAAGGTACACATCTCAGGGTGGGGAGAAAGCTTTGTGCTCTGTGATGTAGTGATTTTTAATAAGAAATATAGTAACTATAGTCACCGTGCTGTACGTTACATCTCAGAGCTGATGATACTGTATCGCATTTTTGAAAGTTGCTAAGAACGTAGACCTTAGAAGTCCTCATCACAAGAAAGAAATGTTAAGTATGAGGACAGATGTTAACTCATCATGGTGACTATTTCACAATACCTACAAATGTAGGAAAGAAGAGAAATATATTATTTGGTCTGTGTCAGTTCCTGACAAGGGGCTCCTAAAACCCTTGGGACTGAAAAGAGCATCGTCTTCTGTTATGTTAATGAAGGGACTTGTGGTGGTAGTGTTTTGTTAATGAGATGGGAACCGTTTGCCTGGGGAAGCGATCCTGTGACCAGAGGGCTGAAATTTTCAGTCCCACCCCCAGCCTCCCGGAAGGGAAGAGGGGCAGGAAGTTGAGTTCAGTCACTGATGGCCAATGATTTCGTCAATCATGTCTATGTAATGAAGCCTCCTTAAAACCCAAGCGCGTTTGGAGAGCTTCTGGTGAGCATGTGATTTGGGAGAGTGGCGCTCACGGGGAGTGTGGAAGCTCCCCACGCCTCCCACGCCTGCCCTCTGGCTCTTTCCATCTGGCTGTTCTTGAGTTAAATCCTTTTATAATAAGCCTGTGATCTAGTAAGTAAAATGTTTCCCTGTGAGCCGCTCTAGCAAATTATTCAACTCCAAGGAAGGAGTCATTGGAACCTCCGATTGATCTATAGCCAGTTGCTCAGAAACACAGGTGACAACCTGTACCTGCTAGCCATTGGCATCTGAAGTGGGCAGTGTCGACTGGGGGAAAAAAAATGCACAACGTGAGAGTTGTGAGTTAAGTTTTATTGGGGGCAGAATGAGGACTACAGCCGGGAAGATAGCATCTCAGATAACTCTGAGAAACTGCTCCAAAGAGGCAGGAGGGAAGGTCAGTGTTACATATGATTTTAGTGAAGCAAGTACGTGCAGTCAAGCTGAGGCTGGCTGCTAGTCAGGGAGAGCAGATGTCACCGTTAATGATTTTAATGCTTTTCTAGATACGAGGTGATGCAAGAATTGGGCTCATAAAGTCTTCTCCTGAAAATCTAACTATCTGAAGGCCTGTTCTGCCAGTTTTTCCCAGCGCACAGGGGGCCTCACTCCTGATCTCCACACTGAGCTCCTTTCAGGGGGTGTTGACCGTCAGCGACTGCAGTGGAGGGTGACCTCATCCCTGAGGAGGCAGGTGGCAAGTGACAATTTGTAACTGACAACAGGATGGGGTGGGAGCTGTTGAGTAGGGCTGAGCCCCCTCTGATAGCCCTGTGACACCTGATGCCGTGTCCTGGTAAATAGTGTCAGAATTGAGTTAACTGCTTGGTGATGTAGAAAAACACACGCACTGGAACCAGCATCAGAATTGAAGCCCCAGAGCCTGGCCTCCGAGCTTCAGGAGGCCCCTCTTGCCCATGGTAGTGGTGGCCACCCTCAGTGGTGTCCTGGAAAGCTGGCTCTTCTGAAGGGCCAGGACACCTGGTTTCTAGCGTTTGCTGATTCCCCTTGGAGCAGGTACTGGTACACGGTTATGCCTTCAAAGTTTTACTTGGAGAGAGACAGGTATTGATGCCAAGTCTGCCCAGCAAAGAAAGGTATGTGAGTGTCCTAGGGCTGCCATGGCATAGTACCCCAGACTGGAGGGCTTAAATATCAGAAATGTATTCTCTCCCAGGTCTGGAGGCTGGAAGCCTGAGATCAAGGCCTCAGCAGTGTCAGTTCCTCCTGAGACCCTGAACAGAACCGTCCCTTGCCTCTTGCAGCTTCTGGTCATTGTCAGCACTCCTTGGCACCATTTGAGGAAAATATCTCAGGATGCTGAGGTCACACAGCTAGCAGGAAGAAATAATCCAGGCCACGTGGTCAGCAGTGACCCATGACCCATTCTGGCAGATTTTGCAGGACAATCAGACATGGAGCTCTTTCCCGCCTGCTCACACGGAGCCAGGGGCTAAGCCAAGGAAGGTTTAGACTTGGATCCGAGAGTAATGACATCTTTCTTCTTCTTTCCTGGAAACTGTGACAAAATCTCAGTGAACCAGATTTTTGTTGTTGTATTCTGCTTTTAGGAGAAATTAATTTCTATTTACTAGGAAGGGAGATGAAACATCCCCACAGGTCTATGTGAGGGGTCATAGAGATTCAGCACAAATCTGTCAAAGGAGAAAGTTTTAAATGAATTGCAGGGTTCTCCACAATGCAGGCGTGAGCCTGCCCAACTGTGGAACTTTCCCAGCAGAATCCAGGGCCAGCGCAGGTCCTGGAGGCCCGACCCAGGGGCCGGGGGCTGGGCACAGGGAGCTGGGATCCGGGGCCCTGGGACCAGCGACTCCTCTGGGACTGACTGAAGCGTGTAGAAAGCTGGAAACACAGGAGAAGCAAAAACAGTCCAAAGGAACAGGGTCAGGGAGGAGGGGCTGGTCTTCAAGATCACATTTCTGACTCTACCCATGACTAATGGTAACGCTGTACCTTGAGGTTTCAAAATCGGAATGGCGCTACTGTTTCCTCATTATCGAAGTAACACACTATTCATGAGAATCCTGAGTCTGTGGGTTTCTAGCCATGGGACGGTGTCTCGGGTGCTTAACTTATCTGAACCTCACTTCCCATCTTATAGAAAGATAGGGAAAACAGAAATGAAATCCGACAGCACGTGAGAAGACACCCGTGTGGTCGCCGAGCTCCTGAGAACGTCACCTGAGCCTGCTCCTGGCCTCTGTCCCTGCCCAGCCCACCTGTCCATGTGTCTGGCCAGCTGTCCCATCACCCCGCCACCATCCCTGACTCCTTCCTCAGGCAGTTTCCATCCACACCCACCCTCACGATGCTTCAGAATCTCCCCTTCGCTCTCACAGCAGATGTTCCCAAATTTTCTCCGTCCTGGGCACCCTGACTGTCTCAGTAATTGGTTCACGGTGCCCCGACCAAAAGACACACTGAACGGTTCTGTTGATTCATGAGTTAGGTCCAAAGAACTCAGTAACAGTAGGTAACGTGGTGGCCAACAGACATCCCTGTGTATCCTGGGAAGTTCTGATGACCCCAAGTGTACCTGCTAGCTTGCTGAGGTTCCCCAAGATGCCTGGGCCCCCAGTTTGGGAACACAGTTTTACAGCCTCGGCTAAGTCCCTTTTTTCACCTGTTCTTCCCTCATGGGTCTTATCTATGATGTTAGTCGTCTCAGCACAATTTGGGGGTGTCTTCAACAGAGAGGGCACCGTCCCCATGGTCCCAGCTGTCCATGTTGGGATGAATTCACTCTCCCAGCTATTCCAGGGCTGGGTGGACTGGAAGGTGGTCAGAAACGAGGGGACAGTCCAGTATGGGGGGAGGTGGGAGACTGAGCTCGGGCTGCACGGCTGAGCTGGTGTGTGCGGCCAGGCCGGCGGACGGCTCTGGGCTTTCTGACTTGTCCTCCGGTTGAGCCACAAGCCCAGCTCTGCCCTGTGAGCATCTTCCATCTGGCTGGGACTGAGTTACCTCCTTTTGTAATAAACTGTCCTCTGCCGGGACGGAGATCAGCACAGCCTCCATCCTTGCAGGTGATGGAGGACACACAAAAGGGCCACGGATGACTCACAAGGAGGCTCTCCTGCCCCTTCAGTGCTCCCTCCGTCCACCTCCTCCTTTGTCCACTCCTGGGCTGCTTTGTCCCCTGGGCTGCTGGTCACACTCTCGTAAGTAGACACAGCCCATTGCCCCTACTCGGATCTAGGTGAGGAATAGGGACAGGCAGGGTCCCTCTAGAGTGCTTTGGGTCCTGCCCCGTGAGAGGGAAGGCAGGAAACCCCCTCTCTGCAGGTGACCTCAGTGACACTCGTGTGGGACGGGCCATCTCTCTCCTGCCCACAGCTGCTCTTAGGCCCTCAGCCTCTTATCCTTTTTTTTTCTTTTCTCGGTACGTGGGCCTCTCACTGTTGTGGCCTCTCCCGTTGCGGAGCACAGGCTCCGGACGCGCAGGCTCGGCGGCCATGGCTCACGGGCCCAGCCGCTCCGCGGCACGTGGGATCTTCCCGGACCGGGGCACGAGCCCGTGTCCCCTGCATCGGCAGGCGGACTCTCAACCACTGCGCCACCAGGGAAGCCCAGCCTCTTATCTTTATATTATTAAAGAGAGCTTGGGGGCCCCTCACTTGATATGATCCTGCCACCCCATCCTGCCACACAGAAGCCCTGACACCAATACTCCTCCATGCTACACCTCCCAGGCTCTCTGTGGAACCACTGCCTCTTCAGCTGCAGCCTCTTCCCACCACCCCCACCCTGGATGCTCCAGCGCCCACCCCCTCCCACCGGAAAAGGCACAGGACATACAGACTCCCCGAGACTAGCTCTTTCGTGCCCTGCTCTAAAGTGCCACAGTCAAACCATAACACAAGAATAATCTTTGTTAAGGCCTTGGGGACAGGAGCCAAGGCGCAGAGCCAAGCCCAAGGCAGCTAGGACCGCCCACAACTCGGCCTGAGCCTCCACACTCCCAAGGCCAAGGCTGCGTGGGGCAGATGGTCTTCTTCCCTCTTTGACAAAAAGAAGCACTCGATTCACCAGGAGCGCAAACTCCTCCAGCTGGGCCCTCTGCAAAGTAATCTCTTGAGTTTTTATATTAAGGAAGTTAATATAATTTTACTATAATTTCCTTATATTAAGGAGATTAAATAAATCCCTGGATATGTCCTTTTTTTGGGGGGAGAGGGTGGGCCGCACCACTCATCTCCGTTCCCCGACCAGGTATTGAACCTGGGACACAGCAGTGAAAGCACCGAATCCTAACCACTAGACCACCAGGGAACTCCACTGGATATGTCCTTTAGGGTAATTTTATTAATGAAAAAAAAAAAAGCAGAGATGTTTTGCATGAGATCATATTTTCTCTTGATACTTGCTGGAAGGCTAGGTGTTTTGTAAAATGAATAATTTCACTGGGGAGTATGGTAGCGTGGGAGACTGTGAGATGCGGAACACATCAAAGGCTAAACCTCAGGGACTCAGAGAAATTCAGAAGAACGGGAAGATGCAAAACAGCTGGAAAAAACCCAGATTTATTTTTGGCCCCCAACCAGAGGGAGGGGCTGTCTGAGAGCCCTTTCCTCTAAAGCTAGCTTAGGCCACGGGCACTCCAAGGGCTAGGCGCCAGCAGTTCCTGGCCAGGTAGTGCCTGCGTCATTCCCACGCAGCCCCAAACGTCGGGATAGGCTGACAGGCTGGCTGTGAGGTTGGCCTTCCAACCAATTCACTCATGAGTTTCTGCGGAGCCATCTCACTGCCCTTCATCCACAAGAGGGAACAGAAGTGCTGGCTTAGGATTTGAACACAGAGGTAAGGGTGCTCCTTCCACTTGACAGCCTTCGCAGGGCTCCCCGGGGAGCAGGGCCAAACCTGGGGATCCCCCTTCGCTTACAGTCTCCGGGTCAGTGGGGCTGACCACTCAGAAGAGTGCGGATAGAAGACCTTCTCTGCCTTCTTCCAGCCCAAACCCAAGTGTCAGGTCCAGCCCTAACAATGCCAGGAAAGGCCAGGGCACAGCTCAGACAGGACGAGGCAGAGAGGCCAGCCCCCTCCCAAGAAAGGAGGTGCCCCTGGGCTGGGCTTTCTGAGCCCCCCAGGAGAAAGGGGTGCTTCTCCCAGTTCCCTGAGCTCATACTGACCTCAGGACGTTTGCACTTATGTTTCCTCTGCCAGGAAGGCTCCTCCCAGGTCCTCCAATGTTTGCTCCTCTGCTCCTTCATTTCCTGTACACGGACACACCCTCAAACAGACCCCCTACCCCCTGACACCTGACCCCTGGCTCTATAAGCCACTACCTTTCTTCCAGACACTTCATCGTCACCTGGGGTTATATCATTGTTGGTTGACTTATTTGTTTGTGGGGTGTCCCTGACAGAATGTATATACCAGAAGCAGGGACTTTATCTGGCTTGATCACCACTGTACCCCCATGGCAGGAAATACCTGGCACATAGTAGGTCCTTGTATTAGTTTGCTCCAGACACCATAACAAAGTGCCACAGGCTGGACGACTTAAATAACAGAAATTTATTTTCTCACAGTCTGGAGGCCAAGAGTCCAAGATCAATGGGTCATTGGGGTTGGTTTCTCCTGAGGCCTCTCTCCTGGGTGTGTAGACGGCCGTCTTCTCCCCGTGTCTTCACGTGCTCTTTCCTCTGTGCACCTCTGGGTCCTAATCCCCTCTTTTCATAAAGACAGTCAGGTTGGATTAGGACCCACCCTAGTGGCTTCATTTTACCTCAATCTCCCCTTTAAACGCCCTATCTCCAGTACTGACACACTCAGGTCCTGGGGGATAGGACTCCAACATAGGAACTTGGGGACATGATTCAGCCCATATGAGTCCTCAAAGCATACTTGTTGAATGAATGAATGAATGAACAAATCACCCTCACTTTTAAAAACAGGTCAGTGGCACACACAAAGTTGTGAATGTGCATATGTGCAGTCTAAGGAAGGCAAACTGTTCGGCCCAGCATTCAGAGGTGCTATAAAATATGAAAAGGTAGGTTAGGACCAAATTTTTTACGAACTCTGTTCTGAAAGAAAACATGACAGAGGTTTTTAGAAAGGGCAGTGACATGATGAGACCAGGGGTTTAGAAGCAAAAGGGGCACAATGTGTGCACAGGGGCCGCTGTCGAGTAGAGGGGACGGACGGAGGGCTGGACTGGAGGACCACAGCTGGACACGGGGTACCAGTGGACACCCCAAAGGCCAGCTACGGGGGAGGGGCCACCTCAAGACTCCAATCCTCCCCACTGGTTAGTGCCCTGGGGCTGGCATAAAAAAATTCCCCAAACTCGGACGCATAAAACAAGACATTTATTTTCTCCTGGTTCTGGAGGCCGGAAGTTCCAGGTCGAGGCGTCGGCAGAATTAATTCGTCCTGGAAGTGTGAGGGAGGATCCCTTCCAGCCCTCTATCCCAGCTTCTGGGGTTCCTGCCCCCCTTGGGGTTCCTCGGCTTGGGGCAGCATCCCTCCAATCTCTGCCTCTGTCGCCCTCTGGCCATGGATCTCTGGGTCTCAAATCCTCTCTGCCTGTCTCTTCTTGGATTTCGGGCCCACCCTCATCTCCAAATTCTTATCAGTTACATCTGCAAGCGGCCTTTTTCCAAATAAGGTCACATCCACGTGTCCAGGTGGACATGCATTTGGTAGGGGGGGTGGAGCCATTCCACTCGCTGTATCCACTCTGCTCCCAGTGGAAGTCACAGCAGGAAAGGGTTCATGACCCAGAGCCACTGGCTGGCCTCTGGGCCCTGACTTAGGCCAGTAACTGGACCTCTACGCTTCAGCTTCTTGACCTGGACAAATGAAGATTGGCAGCTAACACGTAGGGTTGTTGTGAAAATGAAATGAGCATCTTAGAGCAGCGCTAGGTGAGGCCGGTACTCAATACCGCCAGCTCTTTCTAGGGTGCTGACTACCTGATTATAGGCCCCATGGAGAAGCAAGAGACCCAATCAACCATTTCTCCCAGGCTCCCCAGCAGCCTTACCTAGTCTGTGTGAGAAACAGTGATGGCAGGGCAGAGACTGGCTTCAAACGGACCCAGGAGGGGCTGCCTGTCATCTCTCCGCACCTTACGGTCTCCTGTCCAGTCCTGAACCTCAGGTGACACGGAGCCCATCAGAAGTAACAGTGGGACATTCAAACTCTCCTGTGGAAGCGTGGAGTTCGCTCGTCCCCAGGCCCTGGGGGCCCATGGAGACCCCTCTTGTGCTCTGCGCCTGTGTGTTGCCATCTGCCCCTCTTGCAAACAGGGCCTCGCTGGGCTCCTGGCCTCCCCTGTGTGCAGAGGGTGGGTTGTATGGGGCTAGGCAAGGCAGAGCTGGAAAAAATGCAGCCCTGGAGAGGTCTGCTGGGGGACGTTTGGGCCACGTTCCCAACTTGTGTCTTTGTAGAGCTTGCCAGGAAGATCGGAGGTGCTGAGCAGTGGTGACCGCACCCACCAGCTCCCCAGGCGACAGCTGGTGCCTAAGCCCTACGTGCAGCTCAGTTTCCTCCCAACACTGTTGAAAAGAAGAAATGAATTCCTTCCAGCAGCAGCCACTACTGCCACCGGGCGCAGCACCTGGACAGATGATGTACCCCCCCCCCAAACTGGCAGGGGGGAGGGAAGGACCCAGTTTTCCTCGCCAAGGGCTTCAATCTGCTGAATTTGAACCACCAGCAGCCAGGAGGAAACAAGGACCAGCAGACATCAAAGGTAAGTCGGCACAGGTATGACCAGGAAGGGCGCATCCCAGCAGCCCGCGGGGGTTGTGGGGGCGGGGAAAGGCAGGAAATAAAACCTGCAAGTCTGGTCCAGCCCCAGGCGCACAACTGGTGTCCCCCTCTCTCCTGGGCACTTCCAACAAGCACCAGGGACAGACACAGTCTCTGGGGGCAGCAATGGCCTTCCTGGACATGAATCTGGGGGCTCCATTCCCTGTGCTGGGGTCTCCTTCCTGGGAGCTTTGCCTCCAGCTATGACTAACGCTGTCATCACTGCCAGCCTGCCTTCCCCACCCCACCCCAGCTCGGCAGCCGCGGGCCCACTCCTCTCACCCCTCCAGCTGGGAACGCCTGCCCCTTGGCGCCAGATGGCCTGTCTCTGCCTGTCTCCATCTCCATCTCCAGCCCCAGCCAAATATTCCCCCCAGCAGCAGAAGCAAAGCCTCCACAGGACGAGAGCACAGGGGCCTCCCTGCAGGCACATCCAGATCCACCTCTCATCCCTCCGGTTTCTAATTCGGCCACAAATTCCCGAAGTTGGTGGGAGCCCCATCAGAGGCCAAGACTGTGAAGTCTGTTGTGTCTCTTCCAGGGGCTTGAGAACAGCCTGTACAGCCAGTACGAGGAGAAGGTGCGGCCCTGCATTGACCTCATCGACTCCCTGCGGGCCTGGGTGTGGAGCAGGGCCCGGCCCCGCCCGCCATCGCTGTCACTGGGGACTAGAGTTCGGGCAAGAGCTCCGTGCTGGAGGCTCTGTCGGGGGTCGCCCTTCCCAGAGGCAGTGGTAAGCTCTGCCGGGCCAGCCTCCTGCCAGCCACAAGGCATCCCGGGGACCAGTGGGCTCAGGAGGGGTCGCTGGGAAGGCCCCCGGGAGGGCAGCTCCCACAGGCCCTGGGCGGCTGCGTCTGGAGTGCGTGGTGTGGGCCGGGGGGCCGGGGCGCAGGGCCCTGGGTGTTCCTGCCGCCCCTAGTTTCTGAGTCCTCTTTCACCTGTCAGTAGTCATCCCTGGGCCTGTATCAGTCGGTTTCTTTCTAGTCATCTTTCTAAGAGCTAGAAGCATTTCTTCTTTGATCTTGTTAATTTGTGAGTTTCAGGTAACATGTGAAGTCTTTTTGAAGAATTTTCTCAACCCTTTGAGAAGCTATTAGCCAGGATCCTGGTGTGATAAGACACAATGTTTCCTTTAAAAAGAGTTTTGTTTGGCCATGCTGTGTAGCATGCAGGATCTAGTTCCCCAACCAGGGAGCGAACCCACGCTCCCTGCGTTGGGAGTGCAGGGTCTTAACCACTGGACCGCCAGGGAACTCCCTGTTTCCTTTAAACATTTTTAAAGTGTGTGTAGAGTTAAAAAGCTGTTGTACATTTCTGATTTAATAAAATAATTATAAAGGAAAAAAACAAGGAAGGAGATGGCATCCTGTAGTGGGTTAGAGGTTCCCCTGTCCTGGTTCCCTCCCTCATTCCCATCTCCTGCCAGCACTGCCCATCGGCCAAACCCAACCAGAACCCAGGGGGCCAGGGCTGCCCCCTGGGCACAGAGGAAGGAGTGGGGATGCCGGAGGGCTGCCGGGACCCTGCACAGCCCCCAGTAAGAGTGCCCTGGCCTGTGCCTCCTCCCGACCACAGGCAGCTGGTCCTTTACTCCAGAGTCTTCTGTGAGTTTCCCACCAGCCCCAGTGCCTGACATGTGATGGAGTCAGAGTGGGGACAGGGCTCCTGCCCTCCGCCCTGGGTTCAGCATTTTGGGGAGAGAAACAACAGAGCAGAGAGTCTGGAGGCCAGTGTGGCCATGGCAGTCTTGTGAGGCAGGCAGGTAGCCCTGGGCATACCTGCCTTGTAGGACAGTGCTGTGTGCTCCCTCCACACCTGAACGGGAGAGGCTTGGAGGGGCCGGACAGGGTCAGGCAGATCTCACCGCTTCACATCCTGCCTGTCCGGGCCCTGGGCTTCCACCCGGACCACGCCCCAGGCCTTTCTAGGGCCCGGGGGAAAGTGATGGGGCTTGGAGATTTGTGTACCTAGGCCCTAAAGATTTCAGATGAGGCCTCTGGGGACACCGGGGAGAATAAGAGCAAAGGGCACCTGTGAGAGTTTCTTTTTAAGGGAAACAGGATGTTTGGGAAACTCTCAGGAATCATAACCAGGTGTCCGCTGGTGCTGAAACTGACAAAGCAGGAGTGCAAGTGGACCGGGAGAATCAGCTGCCGGAAGACGGAGCTCCAGGTGCAAGACCCCTCAGGTGGAGAGGGAAATACGTAAAGGTGGGGCCCCGCGGGTGGCTACAGGTCAGCTCCTTCTAACCCGAGTCATCATCGGTCATCGGGGCCTCTCCAGCTCCACAGCAAGCACCCGTCTCTTCTTTCCAGGCTTTTCCATGTGCCAGTCCCCCTGCCTCAAATGCCTTCCCTCACATTCTGTCCCTCCTCCTTGCCTGCCTAATTCCTATTTTTCCTCTGGGTCTCAGTTTACCTGCCCTTCCTCTGGGAAGTGTCCCCTACGGGACCCCCAGCCCCAGCTACCCTGGTCACTGCTGGGTATATGTGTCCCAAGGAGCTGCTCCAACCTAACGTGGCTGGTTGCCTGTGGCCACGTCCCTGTTCCCATCCAATGCAGCTTCCCCCAACGCTGACCCCACCCACCCATCATTTCTGGAAGCATAGCCAACAGTTGAGATTAGCCTTAGGTAACCACAGAATGATCAAAAGGCTCAGTTCCTCCTGGAGTCCACTTCTGTACCTGCTCAGAGGGGACCCTGGAGGTCACCCCCTCGCAACCCTGCCCCCCAGGTCCCTGAGCATGCCCACCCCTCCCCCTGGCTTCTCCCCCTTCCTGCTCTCAAGCTGGGCTCAGCCAGGCAGGCGAAAATTAACCCTGATCATCACAGGAAACTCTACAGCCACAGCTTCCGTTCCAGGGAGATGGGCTTCCTCCTTACTAAGCAATAAACTTAGCATCTGAGACTGGGGTTTTTACATGACTCCGTGGGCTCAGCACCCCGAGAATCCTGTTGTCTCAGCTGGCTCACCAGAGGGATCCCTCCCAAAATAGAGAAGTGCTGCCCCAATTCTAGCATCCACCCCTCAGAACAGAAACTTCTTGAGACCCTCAATTGGCAAGTTTCCTAGCTTCAGATAATAAAAGTTCTGCACCTTCTGTGCCGGCCGTGCCTGTCCTGTGCTGCCTCGTGCCCGGCACATCCTGCAGCCCTGTCCAGATCTACCCAGACTCTCTCTAGCCATGAGCTCTGCGGGCAAGACTAGGAGGGTACCATGGGTGCCAGCTTGGGTGAATGTTCTGTGTAAGGATGTATAATGAGCATCTTTAGAATAGTGTCTTAGAACTCTGGTCCACTGCTGATGGGAGGGTAAGTTGCTGTAACCACTTTGGAAAACTGGCACAATATCCACTAAGGCTGGAGGTGTGCCCACCCCATGATGCCCCAAAACTCCAGTCCTGAGTATATCCCCAGCCAAAAGGTGTACCAAAAGTCAGGTTCCAGAATTTTCATAGCAGCACCCTTGTGATCCCCCCCCCCCCGCCCCCCATTGGAAACCACCCAATGTCCATCAACAGTAGACTGCATCAAGGCACAGGGTGGAATAACGCATGGTGATGAAAAGGAAGAGCCCTCGGCTATAAGCACCAATAGAGGGTCCAGCCTGTGAAACTCACCAAGCCACGTGCTTAAGACAATGGGTACTTTCCGGTACCTATGGTACACTTCAGTACAAAGTTACAAACTCATATCTTAGGTAGTGACCCTGAATGATAATTAAGGCAGGAAAGGTTTACAAAGGAGCAGCCTGGCTGTCATCCCCCTGACCCCAACTTCTATCTCTAGAGAATTAGGCAATTAATCAGGGCTGTGCCCTAAGTTGCCTGCCTATTTCTCACATCAGGGCTGTCCCCAAATATAGGTGAAATATGTAGCTGCCCACAGGTTTCACTGCTTCTGCTAGGTTGGGTTGTTCATTTGGACTCTCGGTTTTTCTTCTCTCGGTATCTGTAGCCCAGGATGCAGTAGCTGGGAATGGAGTTGGCATTAGCCACAAGCTCATTAGTCTGGAGATCACCTCCCCTGAGGTTTCAAATCTGACCCTCCTTGATCTGCCCGGCATCACCAGGGTGGCCGTGGGAAACCAGCCCCGTGATATCGGACTGCAGATGAGCCGGGAATGGGTCCCACGCTAAGTTGGGGAGACTTCTGAGGTCTCTGCCGGCAGCCCCAAGGGCTCTGGTGCACCTTCCCAGCCCTCACTCTGAGTAGTTGGGGAGGAGGCTGGGGTAGGACCATCTAGGGCTGGGGCCTCATACTCAGATTCTGACAAGGGCCTGGTAGTCATGGAAACGGGCGAAGTTGACTCACTGGCACTGGAGGTGTATAGGTATTGACGCCCTGCCCAATATTGTCCTGTGAGAATGTTGGCCCAGTGTTACCACTATCCCAATATTTAAAAGAAGCCAGAAATTGGATTTTTACATGGGATCTGCCAATTTTAGCAACAGTTTTTTAAACTAACGCTACGTAACTCAATCGGAACGCAGACTGTTATCTCTGACCAGGGGCAGAAAGACCAGCACAAGGCACAGGAATGAGAACTGCAGACCAGCAGTGACCCAATACAAACCGACAGCCGCTGAGCCTTGGGCTTCTTTGCTAAAGATCTTCCCCCCTAAGGTTGCCTGAGGACACAGTTGTCACTGGGATGCCAGAGTCACACATGATCTTTGGGCTGGGTTCACCCCAAGAGCAGGCTTGTCAAGCTTTGCCAGGCCAGCTCACACAGAGGCCAAGGAGACGAGGATGGTCTCAGGAGCGTTGGGGTTGGGGTCCAGGGTGTAAAGGGACAAGGTGGAGGATGGGGAGAAGGTGATACCCTCCTGCCCTAGGACTGGGGTCACTTAACTGCCCTCCTCCCTTTTACAGGAGGCACTTCCAGTGTTGGGAGCTCAACCACAGCCCAACTAGGATTGTGTCAGTCCTTTCTGGATGGGGTCTCTGCTAGCTCCGCTGTCTTGGGCAGTTAAATTACTCTTCCTTCCTATATCCAAATCACCATTCTCTGTCTCTCTAAGGAGCAGTGTAGTTAGGTATTTCCCTTATTGCGTTAAGGGAATAATTCCACACTTCTTACCCCGCTTCATTCAGCAAACGGGTGGGACTTCCTAGGGTATGAGAAAGATGCTTGCCTGGGGTCAGAGCATGATGCTTCTTCCTGCCATAATCTCAGGAATATCACAGGGAAGATCTGTCGATGAAGGAGGGGTCTCATCTAGCCATAGGAATCAGGGAGTCTTCGAGAAAGAAGAAATATCAGTGATGAGCTTTGGAGGATAAGTAGGACATCAACAGAGAGCTCAATAAGGGCAAGTGGGTGGACATTCCAGAGGAAGGGGACAAGCTAAGCCAAAGCCCAGAAGTGTAAAAACTGGGTCATGCTCTGGGATGTCTAGCCGTGCTCTTGGGTGACCAGAGACGTGTTCTTCCTTTGTGATTCCTTGGCGTCAGATCAAGGCACTTATCAAAAAGTACATCCAGAGGCAGCAGACAATCAACTTAGTGGTGGTCCCCTGCAACGTGGACATCGCCACCACGGAGGCATTGAGCATGGCTCAGGAGGTGGACCCCGATGGAGACAGGACCATAGGTAAGAAGAAAGAACCAAGCTTCTAGAGGACAGGAAGCCAGGGGGAGACCCCTCATATATTTAGAAGGTCCTGGAATGTAGCTCTGTTACAGGCGCCCACATCCTGCCTTAGATCCAAGTGCTGTTCCCAGGGAAGCTCCATGGGCTCAGGGTGGGTTCGAGCACAGCAGACGGGTCGCCCTCACTGACAGTCGGGGTTAGATGTGTGGCCAACATTTGGAGGTTCTTTGTCCTCCTTCCTATTGTCCCTTATTTGCATTCTTGAACCATTCTGGATGGGGGAGGAGAAATGCCTTATTTGTTCTCCAGAAGGGTGAAAGTGGCCCGTCAGCTCTGCAATTCCACAGGTAAAGTTCTTGTGAGTCCTTGGTCCATGGAAAAGACTTTCCCAGGGCCTGTATGAACATAGGGAACATACTTCCAGGCTTACATTGGAGCACAGGTGTCTGCAGAATTTATATTCAAGCAGAATGCTTCCTGGGGCAGATAGGTTCCCTTAAATTTCTTTTTTTTAAAAAGAGTCACTCTGGAAGGCATTATAGGGGACTTGGTTTAAGAGCACAGACTTCCTGGGTTTGAATCCTTGTTCTACCACTTACTGGCTACATATCCTTGGGCAAATAATAGCTGCTATTTTAAATTGTTTAATATTATTATTCAATATCACTTCTCTCCCAATCACTTCACCTACCCGTTGAGTTTGCCTTCCTGAAAATTTGCGAGTCATTTTCCTCCACTAAATGGATACTCAGTATATCATTGCCTTTTCCACTTTTTCCTCAACAAATGCCTAGTTTTCCAGTAAGGATAAAAATAACGCTAGGGGAATACAGCTCAAGTGTAATGTGTTATTATATGCCAGACTACACTTGTGCCCTGTTAGCTGCTGATTTCTACAGGTGTCTAGAACACATTGAACCGGAAAGAAAACTCAGGTTTTGGGTCATCAGTCATTGTGCAGTTATAAGTCATTAGGGATGTCTTATTGATGACCACAGAGGATAGTATCATCTGTTCAGTAGATTGATCTATTTGGGTATCAGTGTCTCCATAGAAATTGAATAACACCAGTAGTAGTTTTCTGTTCTTCTCATTTGCCACAAACTCTAATAACCAAAAGTTCTTGCTAAATATTAGCTATTATTGTTATAAATTCAGCTAATTACTATAACCATAGAGTATACACAATCTGACCTCAGTATATTCCGAACAGCATTATAACATCAATGCAAACTTTCCATGGTCAAGTACAGAAATACTTGACTAGGTCAAGTACAGAAAGAGAGAACAGTGTGCTAGGTTTAAAAAGGAAATGCAGTATACACTCATGTACACAGCCGCCTTATTCACAACAGCCAAAATGTGGAAGCAAACCAAGTGTCCATCAAGAACACAGTCACTTGGAAATCAAAGCTTCTGGTCCAACGTGAGCAGGAAGGAGTGAGGGCAGGAACATGAGAGAGGAAGGAGGGAGGATATAGAAGCAGGTACCCGCCAGAAGGGGCAGAGTGAGTCTGCGACAGGAGACATTAGAGAGAGGGCACAGACCCTCCTTACAGTAGGGGATGATGTGTTTTTGGAAGCATGGTGTTGGAGTGGATCGGTTCTGATAATGTATGCTGCCTAAATGTCTGGCACCCAGTAGGCACCCAAGAGACATTTGTTACATAAATTACGCAAGGTAGTTAATGAGCTGAGTGAATGGGTGAGTGAAGAAAAGTACAAGTAAGAGGAGTGACGATGGAATGAATGAATGAATGGGCTATCAGGCGCTGGGCAATCAAGGCTGCAGGAGGCTTTGCTGGTCATGGCCAATAAAAGATCCCGTAGCCTAGCAGCATTCAATATATTTGAGTAGAGAACCAACCTCTCGAGTGCCCTTCTCTAATCACCTCACAGGAATCCTGACCAAACCAGATCTAGTGGACAAGGGCACTGAGAAAGGCGTCCTGAAAGTCATGCAGGACTCACATACCATCTCAAGAACGGTTATATGATAGTGAAGTGCCGGGGTCAGCAGGAGGTCATGAACAAGCTGAGCTTGGCCGAAGCAACCAAGAAGGAAATGATGTTCTTTCAAACACATCCGTAATTCAGGTAAGATTCTTTAGGACAACCTTGGACTCCATGGAAAGCAGCCCCGCCTACCAGAATTGGCCTAGATGACTACCAAATTATATATAAAAGTTATACAATTAGCATAACCTACCCTCGTCTTTATTTGGGTGTTAAATTTATTGGCTTACTTAAACGAACCATTTTTTCTTGGACTCTGATGATGGCACTGATGAAAAATTGTAATAGGGTATTTCTTAAGGCCGAGCACACTTCGGTTTCTCAAAATGTTTTCACTTGCTTTCTCATTTGAGTCCCACAAAATCTTGAAAAACACTGGGATTTTTCCCGTTGAATTGGGTACTTTTTTCCTTTCACTTTATTTAGGAACTTGCTGTTCCTGAACAGCAAGTTCAGGGCGAGAAGGGTAATAAGATACAGAGGTCACTCCTCCTTTAAGGAGAGACGGTGGGAAAATGGTGAATTTTTGCAGACCAGGTTTGCTACTTGCTCTGTGCCCTTGGGAGATGACTCAGCCTCGCTGAGCTTTTGCTTTCTCATCCTGCTAATGCCTCACAGGATTGCGGTTAGGATTAAATAATATGGCACACGCACATGTTCTGGCCAGCACTCTATAAATACCACCCTGGTTCCTTGTTTCTCTCTGCTCCTGCCCTGAATGGAAGAAACAGATCGTTTTCAGTAGTGTTAGGGGTCACAGGGAGAGAAAACTCTGCTCACCAAGCAGAGAGAAGATTCTGTAATAATCACACCCATGGTTCTCAACCCCGAGGGAGCAGTGGAATCTGCGAGAGGGTTTGTTAAAATCCAGCTGGCTGTGCCCTGTCCCAGAGTTTCTGAGGTCTGGGGTGTGGTCCCAAAATTTATGTTTCTAACAAGTTCCCAGTTGAGGTCGACGTTGCTGACCCAGGGACCACACTTTGAAAACCACTGTTCAAGGTCTCTGGGGAAGTTAAGTCTTGGATAAAAAAGTGTGCTGAAATGCTTTGTTGTTGAACATCTGAGATTTAATCCTTGTATGCCCACATGCTGGGAGTCAGCCCTTGCAGGAAAGGCACTCACAGTAGCACTGGAAAAATGATCCTATTGGGTCCTTCGTGAATTTATGTTAACAGCAAACACTCAGCAACCTGACCACCTGGTATGTGACCCTGGGCGAGCTACTTAACCTTCTGGTGCATTTGCCTTCCTTTAAAATTCATTGTTCAAGGATTAAATATTTGTAAAGCCCTTAGAATCATGTAGGCGCTTAGTAAGCACCTTGTAAACACCTTTTTAAATTTAATTTTATTGTGGAAAGAACATTTTTCATGAGGTTCACCCTCCTAACAAAAGTCTAAGTGAACAATGCAGTGTTGTTAACTACTGGCACAATATTTTCCAGCAGAGCTCTGGAACTTACTTATCTTTCATAACAGAAACTTTTTGCCCTCTGGTCAGCAAGTCCTCATTTCTTCCTCCCCCCAACACCTGGCAACCACCATTCCCACTCTCTGATTGTGTGAGTTTTAGATAGCTCACATGAATGGAATTATGTAGTATTTGTCTTTCTGTGACTGGCTTATTTCACTTAGCATAATGTTCTCAAGGTTCACGCATGTTGTCACATGTTGCAAAATTTCCTTCTTTTTAAAGGCTGAATTATATTCTATTGCATATATCTACCACATTTTTTACCCATTTACCTTTCCATGAACATTTACGTGTTTCCACATCTTGGCTATTGTGAATGGGGCTACAATGAACATAGGAGTGCTAATATCTCTTTGAGATCTTGATTTCAATTCTCTTAAATAAATGCCCAGAAGTGAGATTGCTGGATCATATGGTAGTCCCATTTTTAATTTTTTAAGGTACTTTCTTACTACTTTCCATAGTGGCTGCACCATTTTGAATTCCCATCAATAGTATACAAGGGCTCCAATTTCTCAACATCTTTGCCAACACTTGTCTTTTGTTTTTTGATAATACCATCCTAAAAGATGTGAAGTGACATTTCATTGCAGTTTTGATTTGCATTTCCCAGATGAGTAGCTGAGCATCTTTCCGTGTGCCTGTTGGCCATCTGTATGTCTTTGAAGAAATCTCTATTCGAATCATTAGCCCATTTTAAAATTGGGTTATTAGGGTTTATTTGCTATTGAATTGTAGAGTTCCGTATATATTTTGGAAATTACCCCCTTACCAGATAGATGGTTTGCAAATATTTCCTCTCATTTTGTAGGTTGCCTTTTCCTCTGTTGATTGTTTACTTGCTGTGCTGAAGTTTTTAGTCTGATGTCATCCTACTTGTCTATTTTACTTTTGTTGCCTGTGTTTTTGGTTTCATATCCATGAAATCATTTCCAAGATCAATCTGATGAAGATGTTCCCTCATGTTTTCTTCTAGGAGTTTTACAGTTTCAGGTGTTACATTTAATCCTTTAATCAATTTTCAGTTGACTTTTGTGTCTAGTGTAAGATAAGGATCCAATTTCATTCTTTTGCATGTGGATATCCAATTTTTCCAATATCACTTGTTGAAGAGATTATCCTTTTCCCGTTGTGTATTCTTGGCACTTTTGCCAAAAATCAGTTAACTGTATAGGCATGGATTTATTTCTGGGTTTGCTATCCTGTCCCATAGGTCCATATGTCTGTCTTTATGCTAGCACCATACTGCTTTAATTACAGTAGGTTTGTAATATATTTAAAAACAGGAACTATGATGCCTCCAGTTTTCTTCTTTATCAAGATTGATATTGCTGGGGCTTCCCTGGTGACGCAGTGGTTGAGAGTCTGCCTGCCGATGCAGGGGACACGGGCTCGTGCCCCAGCCCGGGAAGGTCCCACATGCCACGGAGCGGCTAGGCCCATGAGCCATGGCCGCTGAGCCTGTGTGTCTGGAGCCTGTGCTCTGCAACGGGAGAGGCCACAACAGTGAGAGGCCCGCGTACCACAAAAAAAAAAAAAAAAAAAAAAAGATTGATATTGCTATTCAGAGATAAATATTTGCTATAAGAAAGAAAAGACTAATTTGGGCAAGTCACTTAACCTCTATGACGTTATATTTGTTTTGCTTTTCCTGAAAAGATGACTTACCTCATGAGTTTATTGGGATGAAAAAAAGAAAATAAATGTAACCTTCCCAGCACTGTGCTTGCCTAGGTATTAGCTTGCTCCATAATTATCAACTGTCCACATTCGCTGCCTGGCTTTTCTGATAGCGTGTGTTGCCCCAAGGAGCTGAGCTCACCTACCCACTTACAAAGCCCAGTGTTGGAAAATGATCATATGGACCCTTTATAAATTCATGTGTGCTCTGTCTGGTTTCGGAGTTCTCCTGGAGGAAAGAAAGGCCACGGTGCCCTGTCTGGCAGAAAGACTGACCACTGAGCTCATCTGGCACATCAATGTGAGTCAATGGGTTGAGTTGCAAGCTACAAAAATAGCAGCCTGTCCAGGTCACTTTCTTAGTCATGGGTTGACTAAGACACTCCAGTGAACTGTCCAAACCAGCAGACAACAAGCACATTCTGAAAATCAAATCTCTCTTGGGTCAGAGGCTCATGACAGAGTTCCTGAAATGGGAAAGCAATAACTGCATAATGTTGAAACAAAGAGTTGAATCCGTCAATTTGGGGGAAGCAAAGAAAGGAGGAAAACTCTAATACCGGGTTAGCTGTGTAAAAAGGAGTGAATGCTGAGTTAGCAAATTTTTAAATAGGTTGTTAACGATTCACAGTATAAAAAACATTTTCCCAGCTTCACACTTATGGGAAATAAATGTTCAGTTTTCACTGATTCTCAAAGATAGACAACCACAAAGTTCTCACGATGTCATTGAAGATAGGGGAACCGTGGCTGAGTGCTTATTGAGAAAGAGGATATTTGTAGTCACCACCCCTACCGTCATGGGCTCTGGGAGCGTGCGACAGCTGTCATATCTGCACACCCCCTACGAAGAGGATAATGACCAGGACACACTGAGGAAAGAGGCGGCAGGCATCCATACTAAAAACAGCCCTTGCACCAAAAATATTAAACCCGCACAAGCTACACAAGGACGCTCTCACATATAATTAGCCCTCCAAGACCTCAGTAGATAATCATTTCTCCTAAACTCACTGAGTAAGAGAAATATAAGCAAATGAAGAAGCAGAGGAACCATTCCCACTTAAAAGACCAAGAGAATTCCCCTAAAGGAACAAACAATGAAACAGACCTCTTCAGTCTAATAGACACTGAGTTCAAAAAGGAGGTAATAAAAATACTGAAGGAATTAAGAAAGGCTGTCGACAGAAGTGCAGATTACTGTAAAAAGGAACTCGAAACTCTAAGGAGGAGCCAAGAAAAATTAGAAAATTCATTTGCTGAGACGAAAGCTGAGCTCAAGGCAAGGAAGAGCAGAATGAATAGTGCAGAAGAAAGAATAAGTGACCTGGAAGATAGAATAATGGAAATCACCCAATCAGAACAATAGACAGAAAGCCAAATGAGAAACAGAATATTTGTCATGCCTGCTTCAACCTTTTACATGAGGTAGAACAATATGGGAAGATGGAAAATTAACCTTTAGAGCAGAGATGATCCCAGGGGCTGGACTCCAGTCCATGCTAAATTGCATGTCACGCAAAATCGATGCATTCTTTTGAACCAGAAAACACATACTCAAAGAATGTTTGGTTGCAAGGGTCCAGTGGTTCTCAAACGGTGTGTGCACAAAAGTTACCTGGAAAGCTTGTTTAAATTCAGCTTCCTGGGCCCCTGGCTGAGTTTTGGAGTCAGTGGGTCTGGTGGGGATGGGGCCCGTGAATTTGCTTTTCTCAGCTCCCAGATGATCTGGGGAACACACTTTGAGGAGCACTGATTCTAGTGGAATCCCCTCAGTTTGCAACAGAGAATTCTGAAAGACATATCCCTGTCTAAAAGATATATCCCCTGTCTAATTGAGAAAAACGTCTTTTTTGCAAAAACACTTTGCATTTTGATAATGTTTTCATAACATAGTTCTCAACATTTAAATATTTCATTTTAAATTTTGAATTTAAGTTTTGTACTATTTTAAATTAATGAAAAAAATTTATATCAAGACTCAATTATGATAATTTGAAATATCAGGGGAAAATGAATACATTTCTGCCTCTAGAGATACAAATACAAACTGGAGAGAGAGAGAGAGAGAGGCTGAGACCTTATCAACTTCTTGGTACCCTAATCCACAAACTGCCTCTAAATCTCAATGAGCTCATCCTGCCTGGCTGGCTGCACCAACGTCCTTCCCACCGGTGTCTTTACCTGTAGTGTTTACCTGCTCGGGCTGTAAAGGTGGTGAACGGGATGCAAAGTGGAACTCTACTGTTTACCAGCTCAGCAATGATATCAAGCAGTTTGGCTCTCTGAGCCTAAGGTTCCTCTCTTGTGAAAAAGAGGCAATGAAGACACATGCTTTGTACCACAGTGCAGGGCTTCACTGCGATGTGAAGGGCTTGGAATGATGCTTGGCCCAAAGATAACCCTCCTTGGTGGCCCTCTGCATCCTTCCTGCTCTTCCTCTTTGTTAAACTGTTGTTAGCAATGTTGACTGCTTAGGACTGTACCCAGCCTGACAGCGACACACAGACATAGCCTCTACCAAAGCACCATTTATCACTTTGTAATGCTCAAATGACCACCAACATAACATTTTGCTAAAGAAATCTTCCATTATATTCAAGCATCAACTACAAACTGGCACTTGCCATCTGCCTCTACAAGGATTAAATCATGAGCTGTTGCAGTTGCTGACCTTCAACACCCCCTGAAAGGAGTTCAGGGTAGTGATCAGGAATGATGCCCTCTGTGCTCTGGGAAAAACTGGCAGAACAGGTCTTCAGATAGTTAGAAATTCTCAGAAGATTTTATGAGCCCAATTCTTGTATCTCCTCATATCTAGAAAAGCACTAAAATCCTTCACGGTGACATCTGCTCCTCGTGACTAGAAGTAACCTTCACGAGATTAGCAGAACCTTCTGCAAAAAAATCTGTGCTTGATTGCATGGACTCCCCCTTCACCAAAACCACATATGTACTGACCTTCCCCCCTAACTCTTTGGGGCAGTTTCTCAGAGCTCTCTGAGATGCTGTCTCCCAAGCTATAGTCCTCATTTTGCCCCAAATAAAACTTAACTCACAACTCTCATGTTGTGTTTTTTTTTTTCCAGTCGACAGTTCATACATTTTCATTGAGGTTTTTTGTTTGTTTGTTTTTAATGTTCCTCCATTCCTGCCTTGCTTTGTATGTTTTTTAAAGTCTAATTGCGGTACGCGGGCCTCTCACCGTTGTGGCCTCTCCCGTTGCGGAGCACAGGCTCCGGACGCGCAGGCTCAGCGGCCATGGCTCACGGGCCCAGCCGCTCCGCAGCATGTGGGATCCTCCCGGACCGGGGCACGAACCCACGTCCCCTGCATCGGCAGGCGGACTCTCAACCACTGCGCCACCAGGGAAGCCCATGTTGTGCATTTTTTAAAGTCAGCACAAGAATACTTCTTCTCTCAATGAAAAGCACTGAGCCAAACACAGCAAAAAAATAAAAACAAAAACTGGCCCGCATCTGATTCCTCCCCGCTCTGGTCACTTGACAGAACTGCAGAATTCTTGACACCAGATGGTTCAAGCTGTAGTGCATAGCATTGCATCCAAAGCCCTTCTTGAGCTCTTAACAGGGGTCCATCTCAACAAGCTTCACACAATAATAGAAATTCCAGATCCCCTTGAATGCTCTCAAATGAGACTCTGCCCATACACCTAAAAAATTTGTCAGCTAATTTCATCAAGCTGCAGCGTTTCATTGTTTGCTCTTCTTTTGTTCAGAAATTGCTCCCTTTGTTAGAGACTCAAATAAAGGAGAGTCACCAGAGGGCGACAGATGAGCTGCGCCAGTGTGGAGATAACATCCCCAGCAACGAAGTCGATAAAATGTTCTTTCTGATTGAGGTGAAGATTACTGGGGACCCCATGTGACCCTCGGACACAGAAACTGGCTTCTCCTTAGATGGTCGCATCCTTTCTGGTGGCCCTGCACATCTTGAGGTGGCCCTCCTTCTGTGCGAGCTTCCCCACCTGTGGCTTGCGGGAGCCCCGCCCTGCCCTCCCTGGGTCTCACCTGGGGGATGAAGTGGCTGGTGGGTCATCGGAGCCCCTTGAAGCCCCAGGTCCCACACCACACTCAGCTGTCCCAGATCCCAGCTCTGTAATGTGATGACAGCCCAGAATGATGCTTTTATCTCATTTTTCAGAAAATTAAGGTGTTTAATCAGGACATTGAAAAGTTAATAGAAGGAGAAGAAATTGTAAAGGAGAAAGAGGTCCGCTTATATAACAAAATCAGAGAGGAGTTTAAAAGCTGGACCCTCATACTTGCAGCCAATACCCAAAAAGGTGAGTCTGGGGACAGGGCTCCCGCAAAAGCAGCATCATGTTTACCAAGACCAGAAGTTACTTCCGGCACATGAAAAGTGTGCGAAGAGCTGACTGTGCCCACACGAGGGACCCCTTAGTATCTATAACAGCTTCCCACCCATCAGTGTGGTGGGTGCGCTGACCACACCAATTCAATAGAAGACGATTCCACCACCTACTTCCAGCTTTCTTCTGCTCCTTTGTTCCGAGACGAGGCAATTTCACTTACCCCATCTCTTCCCTCCTCTTCACCCCTAATCCAAGATCAGAGAGATCAATGCTTTGACAAGAAACTCCTTGCTTCCCCTGGCAGAATCCCAACTTCCATTCTGCTGCAGCCCAAATGCCAATAGGGTGTGTGCCCATGGGGTGTGTGTGTGTGTGTGTGTGTGCATCTTTGTTTTGGCACTTGATAAAAACAGCACTATTCCTTCCATGGTAGGAGTCCTCCAGCTGTAGTCTGGATATATTCTTGGGAGAGCTGTAAGTGCCATAAGAATTTCTGAGTTTCTATTTTCATTTCATTAATCAGATTTTTTCCTACCAATTATAAACATTCAACTTCTTTCTTGGGTTGATGACTCTCAACTGAAACACCTTTGAATAGAATAAAATTTTTGGTTCTTAAGAGTCAGTATTTCTCAAACTGGCATTATCAGACCATGAATATTTTTTTTCATCATAGAAAAACTCTGTTTACAAACATTGTCATAGGTTCATTGGGTAATCAAGACTTGAGAAAAAGTGCCTATCTTTAAAATGTTCATGAAATTATTAGAATTTACCCTGGCGATTTGTTTTATGTTGCAGCTAAGAGCATCATTCATGAAGAAGTCTCAAAATAGGACAAGCAGTCTCGAGGCAAAAGGAACTTCTCGGATTTGTCAACCACAAGACGTTGGAGACCATTATGAAGCAATATCTCGAACAACTGGTAGACCCAGCACTCGAGATGCTCCAGAAAGCCGTTGGTTTGGAACTCTCATAAGTACCTTGCAAATGATCATCCCAGTACCTCCCATAGTCTCAATGCCTTGAGGGAGAGATTGGAATGGAATTACCAAACACAGCCTGCAGATGCTTGCCCAACTGGGGGGGAGGACGATAGTGTGTATGAACTTCACCTACCACATACCTAAGCCTGGACGCCGCTGTATGAAGAACAGTCTGTTGCTAACCCTGCAGAGAACACATACCCAGAAAAGGACCAGAAATTGATAGGACCCGCTCAGGGTGGTGGCGTATTTGGCATCTCCCTTTATGGGGACGAGGTACCATCCCCCACTTCTCTCTTGGTCTGTAGATCTGGGGAGCTCGGCCCTAGAATGGGCTCACTGTATCATGATGTATCCTCCCTGTGTCTTTAACCCATTTCA